TACCACACATATTGGAAAAAGGATTTTGATGCTGTAGCTGGAAAGAAAGTCACACGGTACCAAATGCATCAAACTCTATAGTTTCACTTCATTTTTGCCATCATGTTTGCCAAGTTTCATGATGGCAAGTGTTCTTGTCAAGCATTTTGCTTCAATTCTAGCCTTGAAAATGCAGAAGCCTTCTGCAAAAATAAACGAAGTCACCTTGCTCACTGCAGCCTCACAGACTTTCCATTTGATATCCATACAATAAGACTCTTCAATTTGCCTACTGGCATCCAGCTACCTCTGATCTCTTTCCCTCCCATTTTATACCATAACAACAAATTACCATAGATAAAAGGACTCCAGCTGGTAGTAGTAAAAACTGACTAGGCAACTTTTAGGTGATGGACATTCTGAATAGCAAACTCTTCCCTAGGCATTATACACACTCTTTCTCTATCCAAAAGATGGGACTGCAGAATTTAGTATCAGGAGCAACTTTTTTGGCTTGAGATCTTTTCCTTTTGTGGCTCAAAGCCAGAGTTGCAAGCCATAACATTCCTTTCAACAGGCCTATGAGTTTTTAAAGGTGCCATTTTCCAATTACAAATGTCTCCCGTCCTTTACACAACTCTAAAAGTTTATTGTCTCAGCTTTTGTGACACAAGGCATATGAAGGGAATCTTGTCAGGGTTGATATTTAGATGTGTTTCTCTCAGGAGCACGTTCTCATCCTTTACATTAGGTATGTTTAATTAGATTCAGAGAATCCATTAGGTTAAAATCAGAAGGAACCATTTTCATGATCTCATCTGATTTAATATACATAGCAGAGATCCCTAAATTTCTCCACTCTACCTTGCACCTCACTAACACCTATCTTCTACAAAGGTTGAGAGACTTGAACTGAAACCCTCAAGAGACACTGAATTCAGCATTCTCTTTATTAGTTTGTTCCAGGAGTTAATTAACTGTTCTCTACTCATTTTTAGTTTTGATATGTCCGGCACTTTCTATTGAACATTTTTATTTGTTCTCCTGTTAGACCACATGGTCCTTTGGTATTCATCTTTCTCCCTCCACACTTATACAGTGTGATCACACCAGTTCTCAAAACTCTTCAATAAACTACACAGAATTATCTTTTTGTTTCTTGATGTGAATTTTTTTTTTTTAAATCTCTGTACTGGTTTCCACTTTGAAATGCAAAAACAATTAGTTTTTTACATAGTAGTACAATGTAAAGCATTTTAATACTATTTTACCCATCTACAGGGATAAATGTTCCTATCCCTACTCACTAGTCTCGGATATAATAATTGGATATTACATTTTTGCTTTGTGTTATGGAATTATTTTGAGAGCTGTTGCTGAATTATCTACCCATTATGAGCTGGGACACTTTCTGAGCCATTATCTCAGGCTGCAGTAGATGTAGCCATTTCTAATGGTTAGGTATATAATTTTAGATTTTTTTGTTAAACATTTTTTCTAATTAGTTTAGTCTGCAATATTTTTCATTTAATTTTGTATACCTTGTTTTTTCTTTTCATTTCCACACTTGCCATTGAGTCAATTCTTATGATGGTCATAGAAGTTATCATTGAGTTTTATATAGAAACACATTTAGGTTGCATTTGGAAAGATACCATTTTTATATCTATCAGCTAATTCTTAATCCATTCCATTTTTTTCTTTTACTAATACAGTAATAGTAATACAGTAATAGTGATACCAGAAGAAAAGTGCTCTTTCTTCCTATTAATGATGAGATGATAAAAACATAATCAGAAACTTCACAAGAGATTCAGAATTGTATCTGGAAGTATTCAGTGCCTATGGAATGGATTAAAAGGGCTGCGATGAAAAACTGCTGCTTGCTTTTTTGGCCAGCAAACACCTGGTTACCCATGTGAGCACAGAGCTGCCTAATATTACTTGACATTAAAGTTATATTCTCTCTATAAATTCCACTTTTGGCACAAGCTTAATATTGTACCAGTATAATCAGCTGAGTATTTCTTATACCTAAGCCTCCATGAGATGTAGAAATAAGTGTGGATTAACCTCACTGCACTTCAGGTGTCTGCTGTACAGATGTTTCATCCAAGCCAGTCACTCACTCTTTCAAGAGCAAAATAGATAAGTTTAGAGAACAGTTTTCCAGTTCACTACAGAAGCCTAGACATAGGATGAGATGCTCTTTTCTGTTCAGTAATGAAGAGACTGGATGATTCTGTCAATAGGCATCTACATTTGGTTATGAGGAATCCATATTTAGCTGCTACATAGCCTTGAGAGCTGTGATGCAATTCTCATATTCTCAGTGTTTTATTGTTTACCATAGGGGGATGAAAATATTTATTTAAAAAAGATTCTCTTATCTGCTTTCGATATTAGCTCAAAATCTAGAGGATTGCACTCACAGAAGCATGTGAAGTTGTTTCAGTCCCATCCTCAGTCTGACAGAAGTATCTCTTTATATCTAAGAATTTTCCCTCAAAATGAAAGGAGCTCAGAATTGTGATTTCTTCCAGACTTAGATTTCTTGGACAGTAGTTTGGATTTTGATAGTATCATATATTTCCTCTCTGTTACCCAGCTCCTGACAGTCAAGCAACTGGACATATGGATATATCCTCATGCAATACAGGATGGCAATGATACATGATGCCTCGTACATGGAAATCTCCAACTTGAAAGTAATTCAAAAAGGTAATTAGAGTTAAACAAAGGAAAAATTTTGTCAATCAAACAGATAAAAACACACACACAAATCCAATTCACCACAGTTCCAAACTTATTGTGCAAGCTGTTAAAACACTTGCAAAATATTGGTAAACTAAACTCCATTTTACTTTTTATAGCCTCTGCTTTGCTGTGCACATGCTTGTTAGTTCATTTACATAGAAATGAGTCTCAGAGACATAAAGCTTTTCATTTTCACTGAATACAACTTACAAGCATTATGCATGCTGAATTGGAAAGAGAAAGACTTCTGAAAAAAAGAAAAGTTATATAGCTCTGTGATATATTGAAACAGAATTTTCAATTAAACCTGGAAATTTCTGGGTGATTGTGTGTTTCTGCTATACCTAAGCTGACATCTTATTGAAACAATAGTGTTTCCGTACTGTGATTTGCAGAGTCCGTCAAGTTATTACATTATTAAAAATATAGAGATGGAAGCCTAACTTCTGTAAAAGGAGTGAGTTCTATGGAAAAGATATGCTCATATATTGTCCCCAAGAAAACATCCCAACATACCTTAATCTTCCCTAGGAAGAACTAAGTCATTCCTGTGTGACAAGGAAGACGGCTGATAAAGGGTATCCTTCTGAGGCTGTCCTGACTAATGGAATCCATGAGCAACACAGAACAGAGTACAGTCATAGAATCAGACAGTAGTTTGACTTGGAAGAGACTTTTTAAGATCACATAGTCCAGCCCTGCTGCAGCAAGCAGGGATATCTTCAACTGGATCAGGTTGCTTAGAGCCCAGTCAAATCTGACCTTGAATGTTTCCTGGGTGGGACATCTAATAACTCTCTGGGCAGCCTGTGACTGTGTCTCACCACCCACATCAAAATAAAACTTCTTTCTTATATCTAATATCTAATATCTAATATATAATATCTAATATCATCTAATATCTAACCTAAATCTACCCTCTTTTTTGTTTAAAACTGTTACCCCTTGTCATATCGCAATAGATCCTGCTAAAAAGTGCCAGTCTTTCTTACAAGGCCTCCTTTAGGTACTGGATGGATGCAATGAGATCACCCCAAAGCCTTCTCTTCTCCAAGCTGAACACTGACTCTCAGCCTTTTCCCACTGAGGAAGAGGATTCTCTATCCCTCTGATCATCTTCAAGGCCCTCCTCTGGAGTCACTCCAGCAGCTCCATGTCCTTGCTGTGCTGGCACCCCAGAGCTGGTGCAGCCCTGCAGGTGGGGTCTCAGCAGAGCAGAGCAGAGCAGAGGGGCAGAATCCCCTCCCTGCCCTGCTGCCCACGCTGCTCTGGATGCAGCCCAGGACACCTTTGGCTCTCAGGGCTGGCAGTGCCCATGGCTGGGTCATGCCCAGCCTCTCACCCAGCAGCACCCCCAAGTCCTGCTGGGCAGGGCTGCTCTGATCTGTCCATCCCCAGCCTGTGCTGGTACTGGGGGCTGCTCTGACCCAGGTGCAGCACCAGCACTTGGGCTTGTTAAAAGCTCTTGTAGTTGACAGATTGAAATCTTTTCCCATCTTTTAGTTGTGATTCCGCCCCCCCCCCCCAGCTTCTCTTTCTCCTAATTGTTTACCTGGTGTCAAGTTACCATGGTTACTGAAGTTTCTCTCCTCAGCTCCACTGCGAGAGGCCGGATAGAGCAAAGACAGGACCCGGCTGGCATTTCCAGATGCTTGAAGTTTCTTTAGCCCAGGAGACCCTTCTTTCCAACACGGAAGTTTGTAACTCTGTTTTTCCTGTCCCAGAGTGCCTCTGAGCTATGCAAGCTGAGAGGGCATGCTTACCTTCCCTTTCTTTCCCTCCTGCCTTGCCAGGAAACCTCCCCCCTCTGCCCCTCTGTGGAGAATACTCCTACACCTTTGTGGGCATTTGAAGAAGTTGATGTCTGTTATTTCTTATCTTGGTGTGTGTAACCTTGATTTGTAGAAAGTTAATAAGATGTACTAACTGAGAAAAATAATTGGTTCTTTCTCTGATGTTCCCTCCCTCCGAGAAACCCTGTTAAAAAAAGACCCCCAGATGCCAAATCCTTTGTCTTTCGCCCTTTGGATTCCCCTTCACAGAAATAAACTGTGGAATGCAAACCAGAGAGAGAGAGTCCCCCCCTGATTTCTTTACTCGCTCTATAGACTTGAATTCCTGAAGAAAATCAGTGAACCCCACAAACATTTGCTGGCTCGAACCCAGAGTGAAGAGAAACCTCATCACTGAGCTAGCCGGGTCACTCTTGAGAAGATCGAGTCAAAAACCCATGAGATTCCCACAGGCACACTTCTTGAACTTACCTAGGTCCCTCTTGAATTCCATCCCTCAAGTGTATCAACCACACCACTCAGCTTGGTGTCCTCAGGTTTGAGTTGGGGACAAAAGCCTTTTTTTTGCTGTCCTATTGGAAGTTCCATGGCTTTACTCTTTTATTCTATGTCTGCTTAGACAGCTTATAAAACCATTTGACAAGTTTTACTGATGCCTGTAAGAGACCAATATAAGAGAAGAAATACGTGAGCAGGAATTTCTAGTAATCATCTGGTAATGCAGATAGAAACTCAACATTGCTCTGGCATCCTTATGTAAGTAAACCAAAGGAAACACAAACAACAAGTTAAATCAATAAAATTTGGAATTCTTCTAATATTAGCAATGTTATTTTTGAATACTTGCCTCTAAAATATTTCTCTTTGGTGAGAGTGGTAACTATATGTGATGGATAGATTACAAAAAATAGATTAAGAGCCAATAAACATCAAAGGCTGAAGAAAGGAAATGTTCAGTCACATATATACTTTTTCTTGTTATATTTGTCAGGTCAAGTCAGATCAATTGAACACGAGTTTAAATATCTTTAAAATATTATATATATAATTTTTGTATGTTCCAAGTTAGAATATATTTTAATGATGAATTGCATGCATAGATATGTAGTCTATGTGTGACTGGTTTTCTTCGGGGATAAAACAAGTTTATTTTTTTTTAACAAATTTCTATTTCAAATCATTTTAAAATATTTTCTAGAATTTTTAGGATAAACTTCCTTCTTTTAAAACACAAATGTAGAATTATATATCTCATTTTACATAAATCCAGTACTTTAAACTTATACTTGCATTGCAAATATATTCAGTATGACTACAGACATTGAATTACATAGTTATCATGTACTATGTAATATTATAATATTATAATTTTAATAATATTAATAATATAATAATTATATTACTGTAATAATGCGATACATTATTATATCACATATGATATAATAATCATAGTTATTCATAGTATGTATGAATACTGCTTTTTATCACAATGTATTTTCAAGAAAGGTAGTTTTAGAACCTTGCCAGTTATAAGTTTTTATGAATAAGAATAGTAGAAGTTTACCTAGATGCTAAGAATTTTCCTTTTTTTACTGAGCTGGAATCAGACTTTGTGATGATGTTATTTTATGTTATTCTGTGGTCACAATTCTAAAATGATTCCTAAATTCAAGTCAATTCAAGATTTATCCAATTCACTTTGGATACAACCTCACCCCATAAACTGTCAAAGAGAGTGCTGTAAATGATAGCATGATGGCTTCCATAAGTGAGCAAAATAACGAAGTATAAAATACTGTAAATAATTAATGCTTATGCTATGTATGGCTATGTCTATCTGCCTTACTAATTTTGTCATTTTCATCTAACTTAATATGCAGCTTCTTGCAGTAGTAAAAATATAAATAATTATATATATATATAAATATATATATATAAAAAAAATATGCTGCCTGATAAACTGATATAATAGCTACCAAGATTTTGACGTCTTATGTCATTGAAATAAGACATGTATTGTAACATGAGCAGGCATCTTTGCATGTATAATACATTACTGACCCTGCACTATTAGCATTATCAGCATAGGTATCTGTTGGATCTTTCTAGCAAAACACAGGTACACACCTCCTAGGGTAGGTAATACTCAAGGATGATAACTGGACAGAAGAGTGATGAGTTTCTAACCACCTTATATACCACTTTAGACATCTAGTGGATGTGACTCAGCTGAATCAAGAGTTTCTATTCCTGCTGTCACCTAAAGGAAAAATTTCAAAGAGTATTAGATTGGTATTTTCTCTCCTCTAGTATTTTCTTATGTAAACAAAACCCTCTGCTCTGTTCTGATTTCTGTCTCCAGACAGCAGCAGTTATTAGTCATTCTAGAGCCAGATGTTTATTGGGTGTAAATCAGCATAAGGTTTTATAGAAACATAGTGATCTAAGCAACCTGAGGTTTTTGCTGCCCTTGAGCTATGTCTCAGAGTTATACTAGAATAAGAATCAGAAAACAGCAGAGAGTCAAAAACCATAGTGGGAAAGAGAAAGACCAAAAAGTGTTTGGCTAACTCACAAAGATTCTGTCTTTGTAAATTCTGGAGATATAAACAGTGGCTAAAAGAGACCTCTTTTTCTTTAATTTACACAATATATTTATTATCCTTAAGCCATTCATAAAGAGATGCCTTACAGACTCATGTAGGGAGTGAGAAGGAAAGATACCTATGTTATTTTCACAGCATTTTTTTAAATTAAGATTTTCCATATACAATATGTAAAACATTAACACTTTTTCAGCACACAAGACACGAACAGGGTCCTGAACTTGCTGTAGCACTTAGAAAGCATTTTAGAAAAGCAGAAAATTTTAATTATTAAAAGGTTACATGGGTGGTTCTGCTCTGTTTGTCCATAACACTCTCAATATGGCGTAATTGTCTCTGCATTCCAACACCCAGCAGCAGCAGCAAACTGTGCTGCTACCACACTAAACCAGGATGTTTTCCAGCAGTCAGCTAATTGGAAAATTGTAATAAAGTGTAAAGCATGTATTACAGCCCCATATGATTCCAGCTTATGCCAGCACTTCCCTTGCTTCTTCCTGATTTGTTGTAGTTCTCCTTCCATAGTCTCTTGGATTCATAAACTGATCTCACACATACCAGCATTTTAGTCTGTTTAAACATCCTTTTATGTGAAATTAACACAGTATTTCATGGCAATCACCTTTCTTTTTATGTGCTTTACTATTTAAGTAGTTTCCAGTGATTACAGAATGCCCAATCATAATGCTAAAGGGTTGAATCACATAGCCTATAATTTATAGGAGCTACATTATCATGTGGAAAAAAATACTCAATACTCCACACTGTTACTGTTATTATGACTGCCCTCACAATAGCTGCTTAGTTGCAATTCTTTAACTCTGAAAGCTTAAATTTAAGCATCATCATTCCAGCATTCCCTGGTGAAGTAAGTGAGTATCCAAATGAAGAATTCTCAAGTCACAGCTAAAGAAGTAGTTATCCTTTCAGGATAAAATACAGTAACTGCTTTATAGCACTCAGCAGGAATCTGTGTAGGCAAAATGCAGAATAATGGAGCAAAATAATGAGCCAGAGATGAAATTTATCCAGAACTGAATTTAATATCTTCCCCTGACAGAGAGAGACAAAGCTGTACCTCACCACACATTACATACCTTTTTTATGGTATGACTTCACACGGACTCATGGGAAGGTGCTACTTACCGTGTTACCAAATCTACTTCCAGCTGCAACTGGTTGTTACTCAAATTTCTAAACTCAAAGTGAAGTGCTGGCCCAGCCATGGCCTTTCTAATTTATAAAATCTGAAGAGACTACACTATATGGCTGTACTGCAGCAGTAGCTTGTTGACTTTACTACTCAATAACTGAGTCAATTGTTTTCCGTATCTTTCCATTTTCTTTGAACTAATCCATCTTGCTTAGATTCAGTAAATAGCCTGTTTCATCCAGCCCTTTCCACACTACTCCAGAGATCTGTACTTCTGAAATTCAGGTGAAACATTTTTCAGCTGCTTATACATTATCTCCAAGAGCAGCTCCTTCACCTTTGTTCACATCCTTATCTAATTGCACTGACCTTGAAAGCCCAGGCAGGTCGATCTGCTTAATCAAGAATTGGCAAATATTATAAACAACACAAACCCCAAATGTTCTAAATCTATCCCATTGACATCTTATTCACCTTCCTGTACTGAAGAGCACTGGAGCTTGAAAATAGCCCTGAAGAAATTCCACCACTGATAGGAAGTTGGTGTTACTACTATTCATTTTGTCATGTTGTATAGAACAACAATATTGATTTGTGTGCCATGATTATGAAAAAAGGCTGCCTTTTACTGAGAATGTACTTGAAATTTTTGACAAAAAAGAAGAAAAGACATTTCCTCACTCCTGCTGGGAATGCTCCACTGCAGCTTTAAAGCAAACTTAACATCTTCATGTCATGAACATTTTGATATATTTTGCATTTCCAATTGCAAGGAGATTTCAGAATAATTTCCTAAGGCAGGCATTACCATCATTTTTGAAGAAATTGGCTTGACAACCTGTAAGGCACATGGAAGGAGGGTAAGACCAAATCTCATTCATTCCATTCAGTCATCTTCCATGGCCTAATTATTCTGGATCTACTAAAGTCTAATTTAGGTTTAGTGCAATAGTATATATAATATCACCATACTGAGAAATCTATAGTACAGAGTAATAAAAAAATATAGAGTGCAATGTAACATTTGCTTTTAATACAGAAACATGAGCACCATATAACTCACGGTTTATGCTTTTCCATGTACAGACTTTTGTTGGGGAGCAGTCTGAAGAGACATAATTTTCACTTAGTGCTAATTTAATGGAAGCTGAACATGTTTATGCCAATTTTGAATTAAGTTCTCCATTTCTATTTTAAAGCAATTAGCATGCTTTTGTGCTATTCTATTACTAGCAAAATCAATCAAATAAGCTTTCCATTATTTTCCTTTTTCTTAAGTCAGAGACATTCTCCACAAGGAAACAAAGGCAGGTTCAGTCTCTTTCGTTTTGCCTTTATTTCATAGGCAGTTCTTTGTTCGTGGGAAACTTCTTTTGTGTTTTTTTTATGGAAAATGGACATGGTTTTGCTCTGAGGAGCAATGAACCCTGGTTCCTTACAGGCAGTCAATAATTGCCTTCTACAAAAGGGAAGAACAATACCTCCCATCACTCTTTACAGACATTATTAAAAATAATAGCTATGTTTTCCATTAGTTATTTTTATTATGGTAAATTATCACACGTAGCTGGAAAATCTCATTTAATTTGGAGAAAGAATTGTTCAACATAGACATTTCACAGTATCCTTTATCTGATGACTGTCAAAACCAGTACCTAAGTGGCTAGGTTGGACTAAAATACAGTCGCCTAAAACCAAAGACCTAAATTCTGACTGATCAGCACCTTGGATTCAACCTTACTATTCTCCATTTTCCTAACGGTACATGAGCAAAAATAGGCCAATTTTGGTCAAGTCAAATTCTTACCTATTAATCTACAGTTTGGAGTTTCCTCTGCTTATGTCCCTGTGTGGTTTAACCTGGGAGCTGCTGCTCTCAGAGGAAACCTAATCAGTA